TACCTCCAATAAGTAATGAAAGTATTGTAGTCTGTGAGCCCGTGAGAAAAAATCGACATTATTTGATTGAAAACTTTAAAAGCATTTTTTTCGAATATTTTTAGCATTTATAATAAAGAAATGAGAGTCTACCAGTTGGATCTTACTGCCTGTAAAAATGACGGCTGATTTAAAGAATATTAGACCAATAACTTGAGCACCGAAACTTTAAAATCCATTGCAAAAAGTTTTTATTTATTTTACTTGTATAAATGGGTTTAGAAATGTAAAATATCTGGTGTGTCCACTCACACGACTTTCCTACCTATTTCAGAAAAGTTTTTATAACTTTACATTTGTTCATGATGAAACACAAAAGAATTGAATTAGATTTATTTTGCTGAAAATTAATCAAACAGAAGATTTGAGTACGATTTATTTGATAAACTAAAGCAATATAAACGAGCTTAAGGTAGATCATTGTAAAAATTTCAATACTCATTAATATAGCTAATCAAAAACTTTTTGCCATAGCTTAGTATTGTGAAACAATAATTTCTGTTAAAAGTAGAGAAAATAGTGAAGATTGGGTGATGCGGGCAACAGATTTTCTTACTTTCACTTAGTCATCTTTATTCTCTCATTCACCCCTTTCTGACACAAGGATATGAAATCGTAATCTTTCATTGGAAATTGAATAGCTGTAACTTCGTTATTAGTTGTCCAAAATGAACGATTTTTATATGGCTTTGTAGGGAAATCCATTACCTTTCAAACGGCTCTGAAACGTATAGATCCGTCGAAAACTTTCCTTACCTAGTATAGGTAGGAAATTAATAAGTGAAAACAAGGGTAAAAACTAGAATAAGCTGTATAGTCGCTAACACTGGTTCGATTTCAATGATTTTTTTTTGTTTTGTTGGTAATTTAATTACCTTTCAAAAGTTTCATTAAAACTTTTACCGTATAATATTATACTTAGGGAGTTAGGCCCCATAACATATTTCTTTTCTTTATAACTTTTTTTTCCTGAATTTTCTCGGTAATTTAGTCCATATACGAAAATTTAAAGATCAATTATTAGAACATTATAGGAAAGTTTCATCAAAATCGTTAGAGCCGTTTTTGCGCTACAGTCTATAGAAAAACATATTTTTCATTTATTGCGCGCAAGCTATTGCGCTTGGAGCACCGAATTTCTGTTACAGGCATCCGTAGTCAAAACCCTACAAAATAAAAAAAGAAGCAACAAAATCGGTTCAGTAGTTCCCAAGAAAAGCTTGGCACAGACAGACAGACCAATGGCTAAAAATGTGTTTTTCGGACTCTGAAAGGTATAGATCCGTCGAAAACCGCATATCGGAATTTTGAACTGATTGCAATACTTTCCTTACCTAGTATAGGTAGGAAAGTAAAAACGAAATTGCTAACGTGGGCCACCAAGGGAAAACTTTTTCCATCCACAAAAGCCGTATTTTTTCAATCTTTTTAATTTTTTCACCTACAACTCCTAAACGGTCCATCGAATCGAAAAATGTATTCTTAAAGAACGTTTAAGTGTGCGTCGAATAACCACGGTCCACGAACTCTAATCTTTACCAAATTCACCAAAAACGGATAAAAATCCCTACATATATTATTACAGTAAGGCTCGAAATCGATTTTGTACCTAACATAAGCTCAAATTCCATGAATGGGGTACAGTTGGATTCAGAATTTCACGGGGGATTAGCCAATCGTATTTTTCTTTCTAAAATAAATAAAGTCGATACAAACATTTTGCTAGGCTTCAATACTGGAACGGTGGTAGGTCTGTGGACCGAAACGGGTCAAATTGGACCTTGAAGATTTTAGTGCGTACAGCAAGACCTGGATAGTTCCTCCAGAACTATCGGATCCTGCGTTTTTAAGCCCCAAAACGTACAATTTTCGATATAACACAAGGCATATAATTCACATCCATACAACCTTACATTAATTGTAGTACTGTCATTGAATACATGTCTCATTTCGTCGACTTGAGGTCTCTATGATCGAGAGAGGAGGAGTTTATATTATTTATCGATGGTGTTTTTGATCGGCAAGCCATATCATCGTCGATTCTTCACCAAATTTCAAGATTGAGCCACCAATTTCGAAGGCTTCCTTCTCCTTCAGGCGGGCAAAATAGTCCAATCACATCTGTAGATCGAATGAAACATAATTTTTACGTTTCAGCCTGAAGACAATGATAATAATTTTTTTTTATCTGTAAGTACAGTAACTACAGATGACAATAACCAAGAATCCAGGCATTCCAATATAATAAAAACAATTAAATTAGGAAAATGAATTACATTTTATTTTAACAGTTAACAGTACCGTTGGATTCAGAATTTCACGGGGGGTTAGGGAATCGTATTCTCCTATTTTGTTTTTCTTTCTAAAATAAATAAAGTCCATACAAACATTTTGCTAGGCTTCAATAATGGAACGGTGGTAGATACCAGACAAATTGGATCTTGAAGATTTTGATCCGTACAGCAAGACCCGGAACTATCGGATCCTGCGTTTTTAAGCCCCAAAACGTACAATTTTCGATATAACACAAGGCATATAATTCACATCCATACAACCTTACATTAATTGTAGTACTGCCATTGAATACATTTCGTCGACTTGAGGTCTCTATGATCGAGACAGGAGGAGTTTATATTATTTATCGATGGTGTTTTTGATCGGGATGCCATATCACCGTTAATTCTTCACCAAATCTCAAGAATGAGCCACCAGTTTCGAAGGCTTCCTTCTCCTTCAGGCGGGCAAAATAGTCCAATCACTTTGAAAATTCAGGCAAACAAGTTATGAAAGAAAACAAACTTTATTTGCGAATAACTAAAAAAGTACACATTTTTCCTTAAGTACAGTAAAGTACTTTTTTTTTTTTTTGTTCTTCCCTACCTCGCCTTTTAGGCTATACGGGATTTTCTCGGACCGGGGGGGGGGTGAGGGCGGAGAATTTAAAATCCCCTCCGGCACCGGGACGCGAATTCGTACTTTTTAAATCTTCTCAAATCTGTAATCCGGTTGCCAGGCAACTCGCGGTGCTGTGCACACTCTTTAGCCCATTCGGCCACCCCACCCTCTAAAGCTAAAGCTGCCGTTCGTGGCTTTTCTCCGATACTACTGGACCGATTTTTCTCAAATTTGGGATCAAACTTAGATATAGCCCGAGGATGATCCTCCAACCTCGACAGTAATAACGTGGTCGTTCCTTCCAAGATGGCGGCCGAAAAACCTGTGCTGCTATAGACTAAATGAATGTATCAATTTCAATGAAACTTGGCTGAAGTCTTCTCACTGATGACCTTAAAATTTATCTATATAACATACTTAAACGAAAGTAAACTGGGAAACCAGTTATGAGGATGATAAAATTAGATTTTCGAATTACTGAAGAAGTATACACTTTTTTTGCAGATATTGTTTTTTTACTAAACTTTTTTTATTTATTCATATGATATTTACAACTGTATACAAAAAATACATCTGGTAAATTCGCACATGGATATAATGACATGAAATACATGTTGAGAAACTACCCATTGGTAGCACTCTAATAATATGTTTACATTAGGAGATCACGTGGCCATCTTCTTTTCAGACGCCTCGGAGGGTTATCAGGAATTGAAGAGGGAGCAAGGCTAGAAACGAGAGGGTTGGGATGATTCTGAAGTTTATTATGGAAGGATAGGTATCAGATTGGGTCAGATCTGTTACATAAGGAACATTAAGGTCATTATGGATGATTTTATTTGTAACAAAGTAAGGAGCATTGAGGATTTTACGAAGGATTTTGGATTGTAAGGATTGGATGCGAGAGGAATTTGAAGGTTTGGTGGAGTCCCATAACTCAATTTTACTAAACTAAAAAAAAATCGTTGAAATTGGACTATTTGGAGCGAAGATATGGTGTTCTAAATATGTTTTGTATGTTCTATTGCTTGATTTTTTTTTTAATTTTACATAAACTGTAGCAGTGTTGTCTATTTTTTTAAGCAAATTATCAATGATAAAATAGAGAATTATATAAACTAATTTTATAAATCCCTTTTTATTTATTTCCTTAATGTTACATGGAACGTAATGTTAATTATGACGTTAAATTGTTTGAAAATAATAAACCATTGTGTAATAATTTGCAGCGTTTTATTTATAAATCAAGCACAATTTTTAAATTAAAAATCAAATATAATAATAATTACATTATTGTGTGAAAAAAATATTATGGATTTCAAACCATGAAAATATCCGTATGCGTCAGTATTCGGCACGTCTTACCCAATTTTGAAAAACAATGATATTGTGCACTAATGTGTGTTTCTTGCAAAAAACGTAAGACTCGTTATTTATATTCTTATAAAGTAAATATTCTTCAATAACTGCATTGAATGCTGACAATTGGAACTTTACGCTACGATGTTATGAATTTTCATCCCAATACAATTTTTTTTTTTCTCCTTTTATTAACTTATCAAATTCTTTCAAAAGTTATATTTATCATTTTTCGTAACTCTGAATAATTTGAAATAATTAACTTTTTAACATACAGCTTTTTAACTTTTTAACTTTTAACTAACATACAGACACACAGACCACTTTTCGACTCAGGGTACCTCAAAACGTATAAATCCATCGAAAACTCAGATTCAAAAATTTTCTGGATTGCAATACTTACACTTACTATATATTACATATATACGTAAGTGAAAGTAAAAAAAATCAAGATATTTAGCAAAGTATTTTTTAATAAAGTTTTATTATTATAATTATATCATTTTTACAATTGAAGTCTTCTTAAACAACCTACGTATAGAATAAAGGAGGTTAAATTAAAAAAAATAATGATAAACATTTTTAAAAAATTTTAATTTTTTTTTACTATTAAATTATTGCATTAATATTTGTTCGTTAATAAAACCAATATAATGTACCAAAAAATGTTATTATATCCCTATAACTAAGCCATTCATGTGTACTGAATGGTGTGGTAGAGACCTGTAGGCACCCACGCCAGTTCCGCTTTTCTGCCGCATAAGTGCATTTTCTACGGAACTGCTTAAAATTTTTTAAAAAAATAACCAGCGTTTTAGAAAGAGAAATATATTCTCCAGATGTTTTTATTTATAGCATTATATTTATATATTGTTTTATAATTTTTAGGAGATGCGACGACGGTGAAGAATGGCGGCCATTGGATCTCAACAACGCCACAAAATCCAAAGCACAAGAAGAATCTTCAGATCTTGTCATCGGAAGTGATTCTCACGAAGACTACACTACAAAAATCAAAGACAGCGTCGATAATCCTTATCAAACTAACGGCGAAACGGCCATTTTGGATACCAACGTCAATGAACACCTCAAACTGATCCCAATCGAGAAAACATTACATGTTCCATCTAACCAAATGATACTGCGTTCTTTTCCTGTACCCCTACCTATCGAGATGAAGGAACCGTTCCAGTTACACATACCCGTTCCAGTAAAGATCGAGAAGGAACTGCTTGTCCCTGTGGACAAGATCGTTTACCACCCTGTCGTGAAACCCGTTCCGATTAAAGTGATCAAACAGGTACCCGTTCCAATCCCACAACCATACCCAGTTTTTCACCCCGTCTATAAGCTCAAACTGATAATACACTCGCAAGATGAGTCACTGCAAAATACTTAAATAAAAATAAAAATACACTAGGATTATTATTTAGGGATAGCGATTATTAACTTATAAAATTCCTAATAATATATTTCAAAAGTGTTTACGCAATGCCCGGCAATCTGATTAACTGAATATAATATGATAAAATAATTAGGAGTTGGCCTCCCTCTAACCTGGCCCAAGAAAAACCCATGAGAAGTGGCTTTATCCCAAGGTCAATAAAACTACCAGGTTCGCTCACTTAGAAGGAAAATGGTGGGGAGGAATTGAGCTCTGACGTAGCCAATAGACTGAATTTGCCCCTCCGGTCTTTGTTTCTGGAAATTTTAAGATTATTATTTACTTTTCTACATTAAATCAATACTGTATTGCCAAATAACTTTATATAAATAAAATTTATTATTTTTAATAAATTTGAAAGGTGCGAGAAAGTTTAATTTGATATTTGGTTTATGCTGAAGCAAATCAAGTTGATGTATGTTTTTTTCAAATTACCACAATGATATTTTTTAAATATTTCAAATAAATACAGAGCATAATTTAAAATAATAGAAATATTTTAAAAAAAGAAAAAGTATTTAATCTAAAATTAAAGAAGCGTTTTCTTTCCGTGAATTTTTGAAAATATTACAGTTTTATTGTAGTCATAAGGAATTCTATGTACTGATTTTTCTCAAATTTTTTAGCTTTGATTTTATGTTTTCTTAATTGTTGTAAAAATCTTTGGGTATTTAAAAATTTGATTCTAATAAATACCCGTTTAAGCCTTTACTAGTTCTTCATTAATTTCTACATTTTGTTTCCTAAGAAAAAGATTAGTCAATTTTTTTACAATATTTGTTTTGTTTTTTTACAATATTTTTACATTTACATTTTAAAATCCAATCTTTTCTTCGAGCGTCCTCTGGAAAAGTATGAAATGAAATTTTCTTTCCCATCTTCTTTGCGTCAATTAGATTATTGTTGCACGATGCAACTGCGCATTTTGTAAGTGGCATTCTATTAATAATAATGTTATTATGAGAAATATGAGAAATACAAGAAATACTAATAACAACAACAGAATTCTATTGAATATTATTTTAGAAACACTTATCCGTCTTTAGTTGACTGTTAAGATTATAAGGTGAAAATAAATTATCAGGATATGCAGTAAAAATTTGTTAATTTTTTAAATTAAATTTGTTTATTTAAAGAAATTTTGACTGCAAATCCTGACAAAGATCTTCACCCTTATAATATTATTATAATATCGTTATAATATAAAAAGAAATACCCACGAGATCTACAAACAAAATTACACAAACATTGTGCTAAAATGTTCTCTAAATAAATATAAATCTTAGTTTTTTTCTATTTAGATAATATATTTGTATATTATTTACAGAGATTTTAAAATAAAGAATTTATAAATAATCTTAATATCAATTTCGTTCTTTTCGTTTGAGGTCTGGCCTGTAATTTTCATAGCATTTTATTCTAGATTGATAGCCGTATTTATTTATTTATCTACTTAAAATTATTTTCAATTAAACGTCAAAAACACAGAAAAGTATTCTTCTCAATAAATTAAACAAGAAAACAAAAAAAAAAAGCACAATAATGTTGAAATATACCTTCATTGATAGGCTTGAAAGAGTAATAGGTAGGTCTGACAGTCTATTCCTTACGTCACGTTTCAAGTTCCCCCACCACGCATTTCTGAGTGAGCGAACCTGGTAGTTTTATTGACCGTGGCTTTATCCTACTTCCTGACGACAATTCCTTCTTGGTGTTTTCCTCTTCCAGCTCCTAAGAACCAAAAGCCCTCCCTGCATCTTAGAACTCCTCACTCTACGCTCCTCTATCCACTCCATTAATACCAGATCTCAACTTATTGATTTATATATCCCTTCTCGTAAAACTACATCCTTCAACACATCCTTCGTCATTCTTGCTTCCTTCTTCTGGAATTCTGTATCCATCACCATACTCAATGCAAAAATTGCACCATAGGCAATGCTCAACCTTAAATTCCTTCAAACAACTCTTATTCCACCACCTACTTCATTTTCAAACTTCCGTATCTACTTACTTTTTTTTTTGTATACATGTAAATCATATAAAATGTACTAGTGTTAAAGTATTTACTATTGTTGTTCGATAAAAATTCGATGATTGCGATAAAAATTTAAATTTTTTTTTTTTATTTAATGAAATTTACAACTGTATACAAATACAACTAGTAAATATGCGCAAATATAAATAATGGCATGTACAGGCTTGAAGAGATAATACCCAGTGGTAGCACTCTCGAAATAATTTTAAGTAAGAAGATCACGAGGCCATCTCCTTTTCAGACGCCTAGGAGGATTATCAGAAATCGAGGAAGAAGCAAGAGTGGAAACAAGCGGATTTGGGTGGGACTGAAGTTTATCATGAAAGGATAGATATCTGGCTCGAGCTAAATCAGCGACATAAAAAAAAAATTTAAATTAACATTCAAATATGACATCTTTGTATTCTGTCAAACCAGCCTGAAGGACCAATGTTTTGTACCACGTTTTATTATTCTTATGGGACTTTAGTCCTAGAATAAAATTATTTTTCATTCATTTATTCATTTCATATGTAATTTAAAAGGCGAGAAAGCAGGAAAACAAAATTTCAAACGGGTATTGTTAACACTCACAGCATAAATTTCGAATAATTATTATTTTTAATTAATAAATTAGTTTTGTTTGATTTTCTTTAAATTTTAAATATATCATTTATTTTATATTTATATATCATATAAATAAATATATCATTATATGATATGTAAAACCCTTTTCCGGCTCCCAGAAGTGATGGACTTCGACGAGTGGGGTATCAATAGAAAGGGAATATCACTTAGAGTCCGCGAATCGTAATATTGATTCCAAATTTTATACTAGGACTTAAATAAAAGTGTAGGTTTCAAACTATGTGATGATTTCGTCTCAAAGAGACGTCACAAATGAATTCATAATTAGCGAATATTATACTTTATTCTCAGTTCTATATTTCAACACTGCAATCACCACCTCTGGAATCAACTTACTCATTTTCTGCATAGATAACTTTTTCAACTAAAAATATCACTAAAATGACATCACTCAAAAATGTTAAAATTGGATTTAGTCATTCTGTGGTTTATAAAAGTAAAGAAAGTTGTGTGGTTTATAAAAGCAGATGGAGTGACTAGATTTTTATTGCCTGTCCTCGATATATTAAATAGACATTTTGTAATTATAATGGTCTTAATGACTTATTATTTGTAAGCTTTAAGCTTTAGCTCCGTTTAAAATGCACTTCAAAAAATTTTATAATAGCCCAGCATTGCCAGAAAATAATTTCTATTCAAAGTAGATCGGTAAGTGAAAGTTGTGTGTTGCGCGCACCAGATTTTTTATTATTTTTCTGTATGTTGAGTATCTCGAAAGCCAATGTAGTAATAATTAGTAGATTTCAAAGACTGAAGATGTATTCGGACCACCAGGGACTAACTCACGAAGAAGAAGAAAATTCTCGATGAAGATGAAAGCCAAAGAATGAAAGTAAAAGTAATTGTGAAGAAAGAAAGAATAAAAAATAACAAAAACATTTAAAGAAGGATCATTATTATTTGACCTCTTACCATTTCTAAATTCAGCAATTCGGGTTTAAAAAATATCAACTTTTTGAAGAAAAAATTATCTCAAATATTATGATAGATGCCCTAGATAACAAAGTTGAGCTTCAATAGTCAGTTTTTTTTAATATTAATTTTATTTTTTAAGTATTTTTTTTAAACCATAACTTAATTAATATGGTCTTAAAGGTTATTAAATGAGGATGTTTTTATTCAAACAGTTTACATAAACAAACTTTATTAGTATATTGTAAAGATATACTGGATATGAATATTATAAAAATAATGATAATTATAAAGATAAATATTATATCACCGGTTGATTATAGATTGCACGACTATTAGTTATAAAAATGTTATTTTCCATTGCAAAGTTTACTAAAATGGAATTAAGAGATATGGAAGCGGATACTGTTGGAATATCACAAAGGGAAAATTCATCAAATTATTCAATAATTTAATTTCCTAAAAAGTTACATTTAATAAGAAAATTTCATTAAATTTCCTTGAAAACATGTGATTTACGTTAAATAATGATAGTTTTTAGAAATTATTATTTATATTTTTTTCGCCACTTTCCGTTACCTTCTTCGGATAATTAGATTTTTTGGAATAAATAGACGATAGATAGATATATGTACGTTCTTGTTTTGTTCTCTTTTCTTCCTATATTTTAGTTTTTAATTAGATATTATTTTGTAAATATTTAATTTAATATATGGCCACACAGGCATTTTTTTTAGGGACAATAGTCCCAGGATAATTATTTAATATTTAATTGTATAGATCACAGCTATATAAAAATTAAAATTTGTACATATGAGAGTAATTAAACAAATAAAAATACCCAAAATGAAATGTAAATAAATATAGTGTCTATAATTTTTACTTCCACTTCCCCTTTGTCTGAAAATAATTGTTTTTGCTAAGAAGAGAGTGCTAAGGGAAAGTCGTGTGATGCGCACACACGTTTTTTTTTTTTAATTTTCGGTTTGGTCAGTAAAATTTTCTTTTTTTTTCCTTAGAACGAACTTAAACTCCCTTTTTGTCTAAATCTCCCATCTCCACATCCCCACATATATTGTTAGAGTAATGCTCGAAATCGGTTTTGTACCAAATATAAGCTCCTGTCATGCTCAAATACCATGAATGGGGTCCCGTTGGATTCAGAATTTCACGGGGGGTTAGCGAATCGTATTCTCCACTTTTGTTTTTCTTTCTAAAATAAATAAAGTCGATACAAACACTTTGCTAGGCTTCAATACTGGAACGGTGGTAGGTCTGCAGATCGATACGGGACAAATTGGACCTTGAAGATTTTGATGCGTACAGCAAGACCCCGATAGTTCCGGAGGAACGGATCCTACGTTTTTAAGCCCAAAAAGGTACTATTTTCGAGATTACGCAAGGCATAGGGTTCGCATCCATACAACCTTACATTAATTGTAGTACTGCCATTGAATACATTTCGTCGACTTGAGGTCTCTATGATCGAGAGAGGGGGAGTTTATATTATTTATCGATGGTGTTTTTGATCGGGATGCCATATCACCGTTAATTCTTCACCAAATCTCAAGAATGAGCCACCAGTTTCGAAGGCTTCCTTCTCCTTCAGGCGGGCAAAATAGTCCAATCACTTTGAAAATTCAGGCAAACAAGTTATGAAAGAAAACAAACTTTATTTGCGAATAACTAAAAAAGTACACATTTTTCCTTAAGTACAGTAAAGTACAGTTAGTAAAAAGTACACTCTTTTTTTTTTTTCATTTTATTATTTTTGATTAATATTCATTAGGAGAGTTCAATTATAGCCTATTTCATTTGAAAATAACTATATATTTGGCATAAGCTATATTATCAGTACGACGATGAAACAATTTGTACTGACCGAAGGAGGAAAGTGGGTTCAAATATTTTTTTTAAGGTAAACAGAGTTGAGATTTGTCTTTTGCAACTCTATAAAGCCTCAAATACGAATTTTCATAGAAAAAAAAAAATTATTTTTTTGCACCACATCGGTACCAAGGCTCCTCCCTTCGATCTTCTTTCGAAAATCACAAAAAGTTGGGTAACATAAAAATGAATCAACGTATCCTCACGAAAATTTACATTAAGTTAGGACTATATAAGCTATACGAAATGACACAAACCCTGTAAATATAATAGAACTGGAGATATAAAACAAAAATCTTTGAGGAGTTTTTCTTTATTTATTGTTTTTAAACGCGTCAAATCTAAAAGTTATCGATATGGAGTTGAAAGTAATAACTCAGCTTTCCAACGATCATAGATACATTGAATTAGAAGAAAATCGTGAAGAGTTATGAATCATATACTGAATAGCAGAGGGAAAAATGAAATAAAAAGTCAAACCGCGTATCTATGGCAACGCAGTCAACAGAACAATGCTATCCCTAACCCTATTCGTACATCCGTACATATATTATTACAGTTAGGCTCGAAATCGGTTTGGTGCTAAATATAAGCTCCTGTCAGGCTCAAATACCATGAATGGGGTACCGTTGGATTCAGAATTTCACGGGGGGTTAGCGAATCGTATTCTCCACTTTTTGTTTTTCTTTCTAAAACAAATAAAGTCGATACAAACATTTTGCTAGGCTTCGATAATGGAACGGTGGTAGGTCTGTAGATCGATGCGGGACAAATTGGATCTTGAAGATTTTGATGCGTACAGCAAGAAATCGGACAATTTTTAGAAAATATTGTCTTGTACAGTTGATTGAAATTTGTAAACATGTTGGTTCCAAACATTAATGAAGATTTAAATTAATTTTTGTTGTCTTTGTCGATTATATTTATCGATAAAGTAACAATTGATTTCTTTAGCTTTTGATATCTTGCATTATTTTATTTTCTTATTAATTTATTATTTGATAACAATATACGGTGCGAATTTTTCGCATGGGCCTACCAGTATACACATAATATCATATGTAAGTATTCCTTTTATATCTGTTAAACTTATATTATTTTTTTTTTAATAGATTAAACATTGGAACTTCGCTAAAAAAGGAAATTTTTTAACAAAGTGTAAACCCTGCTGAAAATATTTGTATGACTTTTGAAGAATACTAGAATTTATTTTAGACAAGAAACAACATTGCAAACAATGCCTCTGAAAATTTTATCAAAATTTAATTAGCAGTAGTGTTATGTTCTTCACATGCATTTAACTACAGACACCCGGAACTAACAAGAGTCCAGAAGAGGACAGCATTTTTAATTAGTACCTCATTATATAAAGCTTCCCTTCATTCGGTAATGAGGAAGCAAATTAAAACATAAAATATTGAATAAAGGGGGGGGGCTGTATTTTCCCTCGAGCTCAGGCTAAGCTGACAATGACCTGGGTAGCGTTCTATATATATATATTTTTAGGAGATATGGTTAGCGTAGAATTTTTGTAATGGATTATATCGTTGTTAAATACTATTTCTTATCCATCCATTTTATTATATTATTCATGTCAATTGATGTGCTAAATTATCTATATAAATAAAACAAAGATTTTGTCTGTACATTGAATAGAATCAACCCGTTTTATGATATATTTCCGTTTCATACATTACTGACACCAATTCCACGTTTTAAAAAAATTTTGTCTGACTGTATATCCACATTGCAACGAAATTTTGTCAGAGGTAAGCTCAGCAATGGATTATTGTAGACTTTTGAAGTTTTGACATTATATTAAGGTTTGCTTGACTTAAAACATAGGCTTAAAATGAAAACAAAATATTGAGTATAACCAAAGTTATGAGTTCTTGAGTATCATACAACTTCCCAGAAAAAAGATAATATTAAGTTATATAAGGAAATATTAGATGTAAATAGAAAATTGTGATACTGTAAAATCTATTAAAATATACTGACTACCTATGAGAGAATAAACAGTTAAAATAATGTAAATAAGATGTAATGAGCAAATGTATCAATAAACACATAATAGAGTTGAAGATATGAAAAAGAAAGTAACGGAAAAAAGAAACAGAGGAGAAAACTAAGATAAGAGAGATAGACACAGCTGATCTTCAATTATTCACTATAGTCAACCATCAATCAACAATTATGAAAAATATAAAAATGTCTTATTATTATCAGTAGCAATAAAAGTATTATTGTTAGCATAATTACATTTATTTGTTATTAAAGAATCATTTACACCATTTCATATATTTAGCTAGTTTCTTTCTGTGTCTTCTAAAGTAAATATTGTTATACACTATTTCCAGGATTCAGGATTTAATTTTGGAGGGGGCTTCAGCCCGAAAGCTTTTTTTTTTCTCACAAAAATGACGATAATTACTTTGAAAAAAAAAGAAAGAAACTAATATGAACTGGTATTTAAGCGATTCCTTAAGTGTAATTACACGAACAATAATACTTTAAGGGATAATGTTTTAATATTTTTTTCTGTAAAACGTGATTATATTTTACCATTTTATGTGGGGGGAGGGGGAGGGCTTCAGCCCGAAAGCCCTATTTTATATTATGAAAAATATAAAAATGTCTTATGAAAAAATTATCTCTAAAAGTATTATTGTTATCATAATTACATTTATTAGTTCTTCAAGTATCGTTTACACCATTTTATATAGGTAACTAGTTTCTTTCTGTTTCTTCTAAAGTAAATATTGTTACATATATATATAAATGCTTTCGGACTGAAACTCCTAAAATTAAATCCTGGGTCCACTAGTGCAGCAAGGTGAATTACATAAATACTTGCATTATTTGTTCATTTCGATATTACATCATCTTTGCAAAGAAAGTTACAGTTTTTGCACTTAATATAAGTGCAATGAAACAGTTCTGTTTCATTAGGGATATCAATTATCCTACAAAGGCATAAAACAATATTTAATTTAATATATAAATTTTTTATCATATTAAAATAAGTTTGTTTTAAGAATCACCAACCACTTTAACAATAGATGGCAGCAGTGTTTGACGTTACTGTCAAGATATGGAGTAACCTCCCTCCACTATCACTTACTAAAAAGACAAATAAAAAGGATCAGTTTCTCATGGATTGCCGAAGGTTCGCGTTGACAGTTAGTGTTTTGAATATGCCGTGAATTTATCCCGTCTGTTCTTTTAACTTGAAAAGGTTATAAAGTTTTATCTATATTAATCTCACTCGATTCGTTGCTACAAATTTTCAGTATTAACATACTCGAAGTTACCTTGCTTAATTTATTTAATATTGCTTGTCATTCACCAATTATTTGTTTTTTGAAAATATTTTACCATTTAGTGTTTCGTTTTAAGAAAAAATCTCTCTATTATATCATGACAAAGAAAATTGAAGATGATACCCCAGTGGTTACACCTAGTAATAATTATGATGCTGTCAGAAATGCAGCTAGTGACAACTTGGTATTTTTCAAAAATAATAATAGTGATACAGGCCAAAAAATGTCTGAGTACTTGGGTACAATATTAGATAGTGTGGAATCTTTAGTGCCTTTAATGAAGAGTGTTGAAGAGAAATCACACTTGTATGACTTCAGCGAAGATGTTAAAGGTAATGGATATACTTCTTGGTTAAAAAATGCAGACATCGTCGTGAATCGTACATTGAGAATCCTTGAAGAAGTAACTTCTAAGAGAAACACATATTTTTTTCGTAAATATCATTACTTGAAGTTAGTGAGACATTTTAATCATCTAAAGTTTACATTTTGTTACATTCCTTGTTTTATTTGATTTTTATTTCAAGGGAAGTCAAGGCTTATTCCGAAGCAATGGGATCGATGTGTGTGATAATGAATTACCTGTTGTTAATGATGTCTTGGTCTGAATCTAATCATGATCTTCTTATAAATGATCACGAACCTAATTTTTTTGATGTTATCTCAAAGGAGGATAAGCTTGTAAATCTTTATTGTTTTTATGGCCGTTTAAGTTGCTTTCAAGTAAGTAATTACAAAGTATTTCAGTGCTTATTTATTAGTATTTCTACTGATGAATCCATTTTTTATTTTATTTTTTTAAGTTCTGCGATTCGATGGCCACAGTCCTGAATGCTTTGAATATTCTAATGGCAACGTTTAGTGAAGTTTACTATAATGATGGTTATATTATCGATCCTTTATTAAGAGGTATACAATTACATAAATATCAATCATTATTATGATTACGTATAATTGATTACTTAATAATGCATTATTCAAATATATATATATCATTATTCAGGAAGTAAATATTGGGTCGATCCAGAAGTAAGAGCGAAACGTATCGTAAATATTGTGAAATATGCATCTGTAGATTTTTGCAAAAACTATTGGTTCCTCGGTGAAGTAGGTAGGAACCTTAATTTATTTTTATTATTATTATTTATTATTGTAATATTATTTTTTATTTTTGCAAAAACTATATTAAAAACAGTATATTATTATACAGTACATCATTTTATTTCCAGAAATAATGCAGAGGATTCCAAGTATAATGCTCCCCAGCTTACAAGTCAACAAATTAATAATGCTAGACCCGGTCCCTCTTGTAGTTGAAAATGTATATGGCAAGAATATTGACATTCCAATACCAACAGCCCACATCGGTCATGCTTCGATACCTCTCCGACTCCTGTCTTCATCACTCCGGTTGGGAATGGTAAGTCATACTTCATTTATATATATATATATATATATATATATAATATATATATATATATATATATATATATATATATATATATATATATATATATATATATTTTTTTTTTTTATTTAAATGTTTTATAGATAACTTGATCCATTGATCATATTATTGAATATTATTAATTACAAATTAATTAATTAAAAGTATGACAAAATAGGATTTTGTCTAAAATGCTAAAGCCAAATTGGAAAAAAAATACTTAAAAAATGATTTATAAATTTTATTTGGTGTCACTAACATTTTGAGTTATTTAATAATGACTGTGATATAGTTAGATTATTTTTTATTTTTTATCCTGCAAGTATTCAAGTATAAATTATATTCTGACTAATTAGAGTTTTTTGGAATACATATTTTTATCTCTAATCTAATTCTATAAAAATATCTACTTTCCTACAACTATTTATATGATACTGTATTTTTTTTTTGTTTAACTTATTTATTGAAAAATATTACAATCTGTCTCATGGACATTTATAATAGTATTCACACATCACATTCACACTCTATGTACAATAAATAAAATAAATTATATAGAAAAATAATATATATATACAATAAATATGAATAATAATAAAGTTTAATAGAAATTATCAAGTATTTGCAAATATTTAAATTGTTACTAAAATATCAAATGTTTGTTAACAATTTTGAAATGGTACGTATTTTATATAACTTTTTGAGTCACATTTATTGATATTTATGATAAATTAAATATATTAGGAATTTTAGTGTATATATATTTACATATAATTTTCTTTTCCACGTTTCTCTCACCTATAGAAGAATTATATATTGCAAAATCTAGAAAAATCTATATTTCACAAATGATACACCCCGAGAAAGATTGTTACTCTATATAAAATGGGTGATAAATATTCAAGACAGGGTCATTATAAAGTTTTTATTGATGCCGACGTTTCAACCCAAACATGTGGGTCGTCATCAGGACGTGTTTCGAGCACTGAAGGTATTCAAGTACTCAGAATTCGAGTACTCAAACGTCAAATGTACAGCAATTGACAAACTCCCGTCAATGATTCTATATAAAATATACGTTCAAATAAAATTTATATAGATAAAATATGATGATCATACATTTTAAACAAATGTCAGGCCTCTGAAATTAAAATATCATAAATAAATAATGCAAACCTGTAACACTTGTTATGATGTTACAATTTTCTTTTGTTGGAATTCCATACTGGCCAGACTAAGGTGGGCAGGGCATGTGGCCAGAATGAGCACCGTTGAGATACCAAAGAAAATAATGATGGAGAAGCTGCACCTCGCAAGACGGGTAGGAAGGCCGAGGACGAGGTGGTTGGACAACATGGCCTATGATGCGAGAACCCTGCTTGGTGTACGGAACTGGAGAGCTGCAGCAGAAGACAGAGCCAACTGGCGGAGGCTCTTGGAGGAGGCCCAGTCTCGGTAACGGGATGTCGTGCCACACATGAATGATGATGATGATGAATTCCATACTTCTTATATTGATCCTATATCGAATTTCTAGTTCATGTTAGCTACCTTGAATTGTCTCTTTTTTCAGCTCATGAAATGTAAAAATGTTCCACAACTTTTAGATATTTTTTTGTTCATTATTAATATTTCTATCAATCGCCCGAGTTATCGCTAAGCTAATTTATAGATACCCTTGGTTATAAGAGTGAAGAAACAACTATACATCATTTATTTCATATCTTATTTTATTTTTATCAATAGCCCTTTATCTCGATATTTCTGCCATATGAGAGAGAGAGGGAAGTGTGTATAGAGGCATAGGTGGTTTGTGTCACGAAATAAATTTTAACATTCTCAGGCCGGACGTGAACTGAGGCTCTATGCTCTGGAATGTTAAAACAGACAATGTCTTAATATACACTCAACCATCACAGTCTCAACTGTCCATCATTTATATCATATCAAATAAATATATATAATCTGTACCGCTATAACCACTAGCGGATCCAGGATTTAATTTTAGGGGGGTGCTTCAGCCCGACAGATTTTTTTAATATATATAAAACGACAATTAATTTGAAAAAAAAAAGTGAATTACCTATATGAAATGGTGTTTAAGTGATTCTTGAAGCCCTATTAAGTGTAATTACATGAACAATAATACTTTAAGATATAGTTTTTAATATTTTTTTCTATAAAACATGGTTATAGTTTACCGTTTTGAGGGGTGGGGGCTTCAGCCCGAAAGCCCACCTCCCCCCCCCGTAAATCCGCCTGTGGCTATAACCCTTCTAAGGTTTTGGATTCAGTACTTTGTTAGAAAGTTCTACTTCTTGGTTAATAATTGTTCAAGGTGATTTGACAGATATAACTCGTAACTACCTGATTTTCCTCTTAATTAATTATGTAAATATGAGTATCCACTGACATGTGTGTCCCAGTAGGATTGATTCAAAGCTGATGTAACAGAATAAACAATCACCTGCTAAAGCAAGACTTGAATCCGGGACCAAGAGTACAGTATGTTACTCAATGAACTACGTTACTCCTTATATATAGATGAATATTATTAATTAACTGTATTCTTTTCATACAAAAAAAACTTATCATAATAAATATTGTTAATCCAAAATATTCATTAAATATTGTACAATTTAAATATCTCAGATAATGCTTACAAGTAAAAATAATTGTGTGATGTTTTTCTTGAATTCCAAGTCTATGATTCCAAAGAGGTAATATATTTAAACGAAACCAAACACAAATTTTTATATGGGCCATTTTCGTTTTAAAAGTCAATAAGTTTTCCTTATTTTACATTCAATATGAAATTTCAGTTGAATACAGCAAGCAACGGTAGAAAAATATCTATCAACATTAGTAAGAAATTTTTTTGTATGTTAATTCTCCATTTTCACTTAAATAATTGGTAAATTCATGAATCATATCATTAAATTACTTTTGCAAAAGGAGCATGGTGTTATGATGCGTTCGACTTCCACTAAAAACTGTTTGATATTTGAAAGTTTTGTAGTTTTATTATTATTGTTTCTGATTTTCACCTGTAATTTCTGGGAATATTTACCTATCTCGATGCAATTATTCAATGGTTAGGGCTCTCTTTATAAAACATTTCTTACCATGCTGACAGTCCATCGTAGCACAGCTATTTGTCATTCTTACAGGATATAATCCAGGATTCCCAGTTCTTTACTTTTAATCATTTCTTCAGGATTAATCCATTGGTAGTTATATTAAAGGACAACACTTTTTCTTCTTTAAGGCCAGTTGTAATTAGTAGTAGAGTCGCTTGAATTCATCGCTTAGCTGTTGATATTTCCTCAACTTCTCTCAGATTGTTTTCTGTACATTATTGTTATTGGGAACTATTGGCAAGGTCGTCGAAAAGAAATAAAAATTAATTGAGAAAGTTCAAGAGTGAACTTATGAACTTATTATATATTGTAAGAATAAAAATGTTTGCCTAATATCACATAGACTTCTTATATATTAAGGAGAATATAAGAGTTCTAGCTGAGGTATTCTCGTCGAAATACAATGCCATATATATTTTTAGGCTAATAGAACTAACATAGAAAATATAGAAAGGGAAGAAAAGGAAAAAAAAAATATATATGGCAGAATTAAAAGGAATTCCGATATAAAATTTAAGTATTCATACTGATGCAAATTAAAATTTCCATTTTAATGCTGTTCTTGCTTTTCTGCTCAGTATAAAAGTGTAACATACAAGTTGAAAGGAGTCTTGTTTTGGTTCGCATTGTCTCTCCTCTCCCCCTATTGTCGCCAGAGGCGGGTTAAAAATTCAGAGGCAGCCTTCTTTTTCATTTTTTGTTATATCAAAATCCCCGGTGATTTATTATTTGGTACAGTATGAATCATGATTAAAGACTTATCTCCATAGATTGTGGTTTCTTTATCAGAGAGAATAGACTGCGGGGTGTAATGGTAATAAAGCTTTGATTCCTCGGTGAATTTGTTATATTTGACAAGACTTTGGTAGATTACTTATGCCTTTCTTGGTATTCTCTTCCTGCTAATAACATTGTTTTTTTTTTACTTTCACTTACGTATGTATTACATATATAGTAAGGGTAAGTATTGCAGATCGTGAAAATTTTTGAATCTGAGTTTTCAACGGAAATACATGTTTTGGGGTACCCTGAGTCCAAATAAACAAGTCCCAAAAAATGGTCTGTGTGTTTTTGTGTTCGTATGTTAGCAGTCTAGCTCAAAAAAACGAAAGGCATACGAAACTAATATTAGATATTTACGATAGGTATACGGCTTAGATGTGAGAGCAACTTTTTCCTTGCTGTCACAACGCTGAAACACATTTTTACAGTTTTCTCAAAAACGGCTATAACGATTTTGATTACACTCGGTGTATCATTGTGTAATTAAGTGGTCTTTAATTTCATTTAGGTCTTATCCCCGTTGATGTCACTTTGCAGGGCTTAAATGCCTAATGTTCATATGCTTCTTCCTCTAAAGTACCTTTAATTTGGTTTATTTTAAATAATTAACTATCTCTCATTATTAAGAGTTACGAATAAATGCTAAATATAACTTATGAAGGAATTTGATAATTGAATAAAGGATAAAAAAATAAAAATGCTTATCCAGGTCGAAAATGAATCTCCAGAAATACTAGTCAGAAGGTATGCGTATAATGTATCGTTGGAAAGCGGAGAATTCGAGAAAAAAAACAATATCTAATATATAAAGTTGTAGAAGGTAACGGAGAGTGAAAACTAATAATATTTAACGTAAATCACACGTTTTCAAGGAAATTAAATGGAATTTACCAACTAAATGTAACCTTTTAAAATATTTTTAAATTTGAAAAAATATATCTAAAATTCATCTTATCAAGGCAATGACATGGTATAAAAAACTATTTCATTGTACTGGTGTGAAAGAAGTGAAATATAAAAATATTTCATAGATACGTTTATAACCTTAAA